ACTTGAGTCGCGCGCGATCGCGGCCGAGGTCGTCTCGGTGAAACGAGCGGAGCCGGCGCGCCGCGCGCGCGAACAGATGAACGAAACTCGTAACCTCAACGATCGTTCGTCGAGCGCGAGCGGCTACGATGATGTGTGGTGTTCGTTCCGGGCTCTGCGGGGCGAGTTAGGCGGTGCCCGTGGGGCTCGACACCCGCGCCTTCGTGCGTGGCCGTCAGCGGTCTTCAAACCGCAGGCGTGCAGGCGCCGCAGCGCACGCACGACATCAAACAACACGCACGATGTGACCTCGTACATCAAGTCTAACAACACGTCCGTGCACGCACGGGACGACGTCGCCTCGCGCCCGGCCGGGGCCGCAGCGCATCGCAACCGTCACTTTTGCCCTCGAAAGTCACGTTGAACGTCAACTTCGAGCCGCTCCTGGATTAACTCCTGGATGCCGCTGGTTCGACGCGAGGGGAGCTTTCGGGCGCGCGACGGAGGCGCGGCGGAGGCCTCCCTGGCCCAGTCCCCGCACCTCCGCCCAATATGGCATATTTTCCCGCATCTAACTGTAGCCCTAGGCCTCCTCCCCGTGCAAAACGAGACGGACAGTCATTGCGTGCGCGAAGCTTTAGCTGTGGTTATCATACGTAGGACCTCTATGCGGGGGCAAATCCTACGTCCGCGGAGGGTTCCTAGACGCTTTGGGAAGGTACCCTCTTCGTTTTGGGCTTCGGCCGGCGCCCCCCGGCAGGGGCCCCTAGGCAACGCGCGGTCCCGGGGACGCCGCCGGGACGCCGGGACGCGGGATCCGGGACGCGGCGGGACGCGAGCCCGACGCGCCCGGACCGGCCCGGGACGCGCCCGGGACGCGGGACGCGGCCCGGACGCGGCCCGGACGCCGGCCGAGGGACGCGAGGGACGCGGCCCGGACGTCGGCAGAGACGGGGCCGGGACCCGCGGGACGCGGGCCGGACGCGGGACGCGGGCCGGACGGCGCCGGGACGCGGCGTCCGGGACGCCGCGGGACCCGGCCGAGACCTCCCCGGGACGCGGCCGAGACGCGGAGACGCGGCCGGGACGCGGGGGACGCGGGATGCAGGACTCGGCCGGGACGCCGACCGAGACGCGGGACGCGGGACCCGGGGTGGGACGGAGCAAAGACGCGCGGGACGCGGCCCGGACGCGGCCCGGACGCGGGTATTGGGACGCGGCCGAGACCGGCCGGAGCCTCGCCGGGACGCCGGCCGGACCCCCCGGGGACGCGGCGCCTCGAGAGCGAGACGCGCGCAGGACGCGAGACGCCGGCCCGACGGCCACGGACTTTGAACGATGTCAGGCTCGGACCACACTCAGGCCGGCAACCTGCGCCGTCACCATGACCATGACCCCCGCCGCGGGCGAAGCGACTCGCGCGGGCGCGGGCGCAGCCGCACCCCCGCGCCACGCAGTCGCTCGTCGTCGCGCTCTACGCGGCGGTCGCTAAGCCGCGACCGCGACGTCGGCCGCGACCGTTCGTCGTCGCCGCGCGCGCGCGACGGGCGGCGGCGACCCGCTAGTCGCGGGCGCGGCTCTCGCACCCCGTCGCGCGCGCGCGACGGCGACAGCCGCCGCGCTCCGAATTCCGCCGACGTAATGCCGCCACCGCCGCCGCGCCGCCGCGACCGCGACCGCTCCCGGGCGCCGCGCCGCAGCCGGTCGCCGCGCCGCGGCCGGTCGCGGAGCCGCAGCCGGTCGCGGGACTCGGCCGCCTACCGCTCGAGCTCGCGCGCGCCGCCGCGCCGCGACGGTTCCGCGTACCGCGGCCGCAGCCGCTCGCCGCCGCACGACCGCTCGGAGCCGCCGCGGCGCTCGACGTCGCCGGTGACCCGCCTGCTGCGACCCGACGGCCCGGGCGACGCCGCGGTCATGGTCAAGCTCTGCTGCGCCGTGGAGGGCGACACGCTCGCGGACGGCGAGCAGCTCGGCGTCTACGTCGTGAAGCTCGCGCGGGAGCAGGTCGAGACGCTGTCGCTCAGCTCCGTGAAGCAGATCATCCGCAACGCGGTGGGGGAGCGCTTCGAGGGCTTCGTCGCCGCGAAGACGAAGAAGGTGCTTCTCGTGTTGGACGGAGTCGACTACGAGTTCTCGCCGGGCAAGAACGGCGGCCTCAGCTTTCTGCTGTCCGAGGCCCTGTACTGCGACCGCGCGGCGGGCGGGCCGCCCTGCTTCGAGGCGCACCTGGTGCTCACGAAGGCCCAGGTCAACGCGGCGCTCGAGTCGGCGACGATTTCCGTCGGCCGGCCGCGCCGCGAGAAGTTGGTCTTCAAGGTCGGCAGCGCGGTCGTCCAACGCCAGGACCTCAATGACGCGCCCCTCACGGACAAGCTCAAGGCGTTGCCGCTGCATGGCGTGGTCGCGGTCACCTTCGCCGACGAGGGCCGGCCGCGGGGCGCGTTGGCCGGCGCGCTCTTCTTCGAGATCCTCGAGGAGGACCGCACGCGGGCCCCAAGCATCCTTTCTCGCGACCCGACGATGCCAGCCCTGGTCGTCCACTTCACGCGCCTGGACGCGCCGCTGACCTTCCAGGTCAGTGTCGCGACCCTCGGCCGCATCTTCAGCGACTCGCAACTCGAGAAACTCGACGCGAAGCGGAGCCTCCTCTCGCAGGCCTTCGGCGTCGCCGACGCGTCGGCCGCGCAGCGCATGCTCCCGAATCCGTGCACCTTCGTGTGCGCGTGCTGCCCGCGGTCGAACCACACGGTCTCCGTCGTGCTCGGCGGCGCGACGGGCCCGGAGACGCCCTCCTTCTTCGACCAGGCCGACGTGCACAAGCTGTCCTCGCCCAACAACCTGAACAAGGTCATCCAGCACACGGCCATCCACCTCAAGCAGGCCCAGGACGCCAAGGAAGTCGTGCCCGTCGGCGACGCGGACGGCGTGCGCGACGCGCAGAAGAAGATCGACGGCTTCGAGTACGCGCTCCTCACCCTCAAGAAGCAGGCGACGACGCTCGAGCCCCTCGCCGACGCTACCATGCTCGTCGACGCGGACCGCGTCCCCAAGTGCTACATCGCCGACCTCCCGTAGGACCCCTCCACTCTGTGCTCCGCTTCCCACCTTCCCCCCGGCCCCCCACTGTGTGCTTCGCTTCTACTTCGCGCTTGTAACTTAAACTGCTGCCCTCGTCCGGCAGGCTAGGCCTAGAAGGTTCTCAGACTAGTGGACCGTGCCGGGCCGGCAGGGAACGGACCGACGTGGCATCGGTTCGAACGGATACACTCCCAGGAACGCAGTCCCTACGGGCCAAGGTGCCCGAGCTGAATGTCCATTATACAGAAATTGCGACCACGAACCCCAGCGCACCCCGGATGGGTTAGGAAAACACCAAGGGGCCCCATGCCGGCGTCGTAGGCGACGCCCTGGTACTGCTCCGTGACGATGTGCGTACAGCGTCCGCGGAGAGCACGATCATGGAGACCGCGGCGTCACGTTCGAGAGCGGCGTCTCCAGCGTGATGAACTGGTCGATGGCGAGGAAGGCTTCGGGCTGGAAGGTCGCGACCGTCGTGGGCGTCGTCTTCGAGGCCTCGGTGTTCTACGTGACGACGAGCGCCTCGCTCGACGAGGGCGTGCCCTTCGCCGATGCACGACGCCGCTCGCCGCGTCGCCGACGCCGACGGTCTTCTCGATCGACACCGCGCCGCGCTCCACGAACGACGGCTCCAAGACCTCCGCGCAGCTGAAGTCGAAGAAGGCCTGGGTGCCCCCGGGCGCTGATGGGTGCGATCAAGGCGCCGGGCAAGCCCGAGCGCACAGCCAAGAGACGCAGCGCCGACATGTCGCCGATCAAGACGGCCAGCTGCCACGCGACGACGGACGAAACGATTGAGCGCCCGCCAAGAGTCCGGCACGGGCAAGGCTTCGGCCATGGTGGGCAGCCCACTTTCTCGGGTGCACCATGCCGTATCCAGTGCATCTTGAAGCTAGGGTCGTCGGGACTAGGCTCAGACTCGGATCGGGGTTGCGAGAGGCAGCCCTCCGAACCGATGCCACGTCGGTAACCCTCTAACGACGCGGCGGCTTAAGTCACGCGCGCCTCAGTGTTGCAGCTGCGCCGCAGGTGGGCGCGCGCGTCCGCGGGCGACGGCGCGGCCGCCGCGGCCGCCGGGCTCCGTCGCCGCGCGCGGACCTCGTCGTCGTCGTCGTCGTCGTCGTCGTCGTCGCCGTCGTCGCCCTCGCCCTCCTCCTCCTCCTCCTCGTCGTCGTCGTCGTCGTCGTCGACGTGGAGCGCCGCGGCGACGAAGTCCGCGACGCGCTTCGCGTGGGGCCCCGGGAGTCGCGCGCGCTCCGGAGCCCCATGCTTTGCGAGCGCGGCGAGCTCGAGCGCCGCGGACACGTCCATGAACTTGCCGTCGGAGTCCCTAAGGAGAGACTCAGCGACCGGGTGGTCCTTGCCGCCGGGCTCGCGGCCCAGGAAGTAGAGCGTGTCCGCGTCGTCGTCGTCGTCGCCGCCGCCGTCGCCGTCGTCGCCGCGGGAAGAGAGCGTCGAGGGCGGCCCCACGCGCATGCGGTAGAGCCCCACCCCGCCGCGGCCGGTGATCTGGTAGAGCGACCAGCGGTCCTGGATCTCGCGCCGGTGCTCCGCGAAGTCCCGCTTCGCGGCGGCCGAGTGCGCCTTCCCGCACGTCCACGACGCGGACGGCGGCCCGTCGTCGGCCGCCTTCGCGTGCTCGCGGCAGAGCGACTTGACGCAGTGGGCGCAGCGCCAGAGCGTCGCGACGCGCCGCCGGCACATGAAGCAGTGGTCATAGTACGCCGAGGCCGGAGCCAAGACGACCACGACCTGGCCCGGCGCGAGCTCGGTCGCGAGGACCGTGCCCGTCGGCGTGCCCGCCGTCGCGGGCCGCGCCGTCGCTGCAAGCGAGAAGCGCAGGGCGGCGGCCCCGTCATCCATGCCGTCGCACCGCTCCAGAACCGCGTTCTCGCGGCCGCCGCCCTCGGGGCGCGGGGCCTGCGCGAGCATGTTGTCCGGCGCCACGGGCGTCACGTTCGCGTACTTCTTGCCCGGCCGGAGCGTCGGCACGTTCGGGAAGAATTGCAAAAGGCACCGCGTCGCCTCGCGCAGATTTGGCCCGAGCACGGCCGAAGGCGCCGCTTTAGCGGTGCGCAGCGGCTTGACGATCGCGTCGACGTCCTCCCACGGGACCGCCTTGCCGCCCTCGGGCGTGACGTAGAACGTCTTGCCGTCGCCGGGCTTCCGCGTGTCCCACGTCGTCCGCGAGCCGTTCTGGAGGGCGTCCTCGATGGCGCGGGGCTCGAGGGCGACGACGTCGGCGGCGGTGCCGAGCTCCGCGGCGCTCGAATTCACCTGCGCCTGCCGCTGCTGGGCGTTGAAACGCTCTGCATGCGTCGTCACGACGTCGAGCATGGACGTCGACGCGTCGAGCTGCGCCGCCGTCAAGCCCGTCTCGCCGCCGCAGACGAGCTCGGCGAACGCGTCGTCGAGGAGCAGGAGCTGCGCGAGCATCGCGCGCACGGTCGCGCTCGACGGCGTCGCGTCGGGGCCCTTGGTCGCGTTGACGCCGCCGCTCCGCGAGATCGCCGCGCCCATGACGTCCATGTCCGCCACGATGGACTCGATGGCCGCGGTCATCGCCGCGACGGCCTCGCGGAACGGCCGGCGGTGCACGTGCGCGCGGTAGGCGTCCACGCTGTCGAAGGGCAGCGCGCCCAGATTTCTCCGGATGTAGCCGTAGTCGTCCGGGAGCACGCAGGCCTCGCCGATCGCGCGGAGGTTCGCCATGAGCTTGCGGAGGCCCGTCGTGCCGAAGTTGAAGAGGCGCACGCTGCCGGCGCAGTGGCCCGCGGCGGACGCGACGTAGACCGACGCGCGGCCGTGCGGGCTCGTCACGAGGCCCAGGGGCTGGTCCAGCTGCGCGTGGGGCAGCGCGCCGTCCCGGTCGCCGGCGACGTCGCCGCCCGCGAGGAGCACGTTCGCGACGCCCAAGGGGTCGCAGGCGACGAGCCGCGAGCCGTTCAGGGCGCCGACGACGACGCGCGGCGCTGTCTCGTGGGCGGGCGCCGCGGCGCCGCCGCCGTCGGGCAGCGTGACCAACGCCTCCGTGATGCCCCAGATGGTCCAGCTCTGGTCGAAGGGCGCGCCGTAGGCCTTGGCGCTGAACGCGTCCTCGAAGTCGACGGCGACGACGCGGCCGCTCGTCGCGTCCCAGACCGTCACGAAGCACATCGTCCCGCCCGCGTTGACGCAGAGCTGGCAGGGCTCGCCGCCGCCGAGGTCGACGCGGTGCTTGACCACGATCGCCGCCGCGGGTGACAGGTCGAACTTGAGCTCGGCGACGAGGACGGCCCCGCGGCCCTCGCCCTCGAACGCGGCGACGACGACGCTCTGAGTCCTCGACGGCGTCGGCGGGCCGACGGCCGCGATGTCGCAGAAGTTGGAGTGGGAGTAGGCCGGCGGCGGGGAGAGGCGGAAGACGTTGGTGGTAGGCAGGGTCGAGACCCACCGGCGCGGGTACTCGACGACGATCAGCGCCGCGGGCTGGCCGAAGTCGGCGACGACGAGGTAGCGGTCGTTGTCGAACATGGCGACGCCCGTCGGGTTGACCAGCGCGAGGGCGCCCGGCGCGGAGCGCTTCGTCGACGCCTTCTTCGGCACGGCCGTCGCGGGCGTCGTCGCGAGCGCGCCCGACCCCGCGACCAAGGACACGGTCGCCGGCTGCTTGTTCGTCACCGCGAGGACCGAGCCCTCGCGCGTCACGACAAAGACGAGCGTCGACTTGGTCGCGCAGGCGAGCGCGCAGGGCGAGCGCACGAGGTTGTGGCGCAGGTCCTTCTTCCAAACGAGGTAGGTCTCGGGGACCACGGTGACGGCGACGCCGCGCGGCGCGTCCGTGGCGACGAGCCGCTCGAGGAGCAGGCGCCCGAGGCTCACCACGGACTGGGAGCAGAGCCTGTTCTTGGCGCGGAGCGCCTTCGTCGACAAGTGCTTCACCCACTCGTGCGGCCGGGCCGCGAAGCTCCGCAGAGCCATGAGCAGGTGCGTCGAGACGAGCTCGTCGCCCGAGAGCAGGAAGTAGTCCTGGGACTTGCCCCAGATGCGGCGCAGCGAGTGCACGAAGTCCACGAGGCACAGCGGCCGCTCGGCGCGCAGGAACTCGCGCAGGCCCGGCGCCGCGGAGATCAGGGCCTCGAGCGGCTGCGGGACCGAGCCGTCGACGAACGCCGCGACGTATTCGTTGCAGGCGTTGACGGCGGCCGAGTGCTCGCCGTCCGCCGTCACCACCAGCACCGCAAACCGCCTGCACTGGGCCTTGGCCTCGAGGCTGCGCCGGCACGCGCGGAGCCGCCCGTTCGCCGTCGTGTGGCCCAAGGCGCGGCACTCGTCGCAGGGCGCGTCCGTCGCGCAGCGCGCGGCCGTCGGCGGGCGGTAGACGCACTCGCCCGTCGCGCAGAGCCGGCTGGACACGCAGTCGTCGGCCCAGCGCGTGCCGCGGCAGCGGTTGCAGACGAGCGCCGACGACCAGGCCCGGCCGATATGGCGGAGGTCGGCGGCTTTTCCGCCGCCCTTGGGAGGCGTGAAGTGCTTCGCGACGGGGAACGACAGGTTCGTGCCGACGAGCACCAAGTGGCTGAAGTCGACGCCCGAGACCATCTGCCGACCCGCCATGAGCGTCTCCATGGCCGCCGCGGGGTCCAGGGCGACGTCGTCGGCGAATTTGAGCGCGTCGGCCTGCGTCACGGGCGGGTAGAAGCCGACGAAGACGACGGCCTCGTCGTCCGAGGCCGTGGCGTAGACGGGCGAGGCGCCGACGGCCACGGGCACGCCGTCGAACTGGCCGGTGGCCACGCGAGCGAGGACGGCGCCGTCGCCCGCGGCGCCGAGCGTCGGCGCGCCGCACGCGTCGGACACGGCCTCGTAGGCCCGCATGATGCCGTCGGGGTAGGACCCGGAGTAGGGCTGGAGCGCGAGCCGCGAGTTCCGGTGCGTGCCCGGCGGCACGAGCACGTCGTTCGTCGCGGCGATGGTCTGCAGGGTCGGCTGCTGGCGGTCGTCGAGGTCGCTGGATCCGGCGCCGCCGCGCAAGCCGTAGACGTTGCCGTGCGTCTTCACGTTGCGCTCCAAGGACAGGAGGGACTCCGTGCCCCCCCACTTCACGCTCAGGCCGCTCATGCTCCGGCAGAAGACGTCGATGCGCTCGGTCATGGGGTGCGAGCGCGCGAGCGCGCCGGACCCGATCATCGCGTCCAAGGCCCGAGCGCCCGACGACAGCTCGGGCCCGAGAGGTCGGAGCCGCAGCACGTCGAGGCGCTGCCCCGCGACGGACGCGGTCGGCGGCCGCAGCATCGGGCCCGCGGGCGGCGAAAGCTCGGCGGCGTCCTCGCGGGGGCCGAGCGACGACTTCGCGGCGAGGCGCTCGAGGCGCGCGACGGCGCGCCGCGCGTCGTCGTTCGGGCAGCAGCGGCCCATGTGCGCCAGGAGGGCCGAGAGGTCGTTCATCGAACGGCCGGCGACGCTCCGCTCACAGAACGGACATCGGTAGTGGAATGGCGTCGGCGCGACGCGTTCGGCCGCGGCGCTCGAGACGTCGAGCGCGATCGCGACCTTCTCGCGGACGTTGCAGAGCTCGAAGATGTCGGGCCAGATCATGAAGACCGTGCCCGACACGACGATGACGCGGACCTTGCCGTCGGCGCGCTCCTCGAAGCGGAACGCGACGTGCGCGTCCGAGGCCGACGCGGCGCACATCGACGCCGCCGTCGCGCCGCCCTCGGCCGCGTCGACGGCCATGCATCTCCGGAATTCGGAGATGATGGCCGTCGTCAGCAGCAGTGGCATGGACTCGGACGGCCAGGCGGCGGTCCACTCGACGGTACGCTGCGTCCCGTTAGGGAACACGAGCTTGACTCGCTTGTCGCCGCGGGGCCTCTTCAGGTCGCCCTTCCGGCGGTCGGTCGCGAAGAAGAACTGCGCGGCGACCTCGTTGAACTCCTCGTTGGCGGCGAGGTTGGCGCCGCAGCAGACCCGCGAGCAGACCGTCGTCGACGGCGTCGGAATCCGCGCGAGGAGCGTGTAGACGACGTCGCCGGCCTTCTCCGCGAGACCGATGGCCGCGCGGAAGGCGTCCGTGCTCGGGAGGATGATGGGGTCGCCGCCGTCGAGCGAGATGGAGATGTGGACGAGGTTCGCGCGCGCGTCGTCGTAGACCTGGAGCTCGTCGTCCGGGCAGTACCGCGCCCCGAGCTCGAGCGCGTCGTCGCCGCGCTCGGGTAGGGACGGGGTGTACACTAACACGGGGGAGGACCGCCAGAGCTCCGTGCCCGAGCCCCACTCCTTCACGCCGAAGGACAGGCGGACGAGGTGCCGCCCCCGCTGCGACATGGTCCGGCTCGGGCTTCGCTGCCGATCGCCGCGCCCTTTGTGACGACGCCGGTCGCGCCGCGGCGCCCCGCCGTCGCCCCCGGGCGCCTGTGTGGCCGCCGGGCCCGACGGACGCCGCGGGGCCGGGCCTCGGCGCCGAAGGAGCGCGAGGAGCGGCGCTTTCCACGGGTTTCGAAACTCGCGGCGTCTTGCCGAAGCTCGGCCATTGTCTTGGCCGCGTCCTGCGTCCTGCTCGCGTCCCGCGCTCGTCTTGGCCGGGGCTCGCGCCCGTCCGGCTTCCGGGACGCCGCCGAGACGCCGGAGGACCTGGCCGGGACCTGGAAGGACGTGGCCAGAGACGCGGCGGACGCTACCGAGACCCGGCGAGACGCGCGGGACGTCGCCGGGACCCGGGACCCGCCCGAGACCGCACCGGGACGCGGAAGACTCCCGGCGGACGCGGCCGGGACGCGCGCCGGGACGCCCGGGACGCCGACCCCGGGACGCGGCCGAGACGCGACGGACATCGGCGGGACGCGCGCCGGGACCCACGCGGGACGCGGGCGGGATTCCGCCGGGACCCGCACGGACGCCGCCCGAGACGCCGGACGCGGGACGCGGCCCGGGACGCGGCCGGGACGCGCGCGGGACCCGGGCCGGACCCGCGGGACGCGACTTCCGGGACGCGGCCGAGACGCCGCGGAACGCGGCCGAGACCGGCGGCGGACGGAGCAAAGGACGCCGGGACCGCGCGTTGCCTAGGGGCCCCTAAGGGGTAATAAATAGTAGATTTATATCCCCTTGGCGCAACGAGAGGCTTGGCGAAGCCGAGCTTGCGGCAAACGAGCCGCTAAAGCCTGGCGACGTGGGCCGCAGTCGGCCGCCGCGCGTCGCGTCCCGAGCCGTTCGAGGCGCGCCGCAACGCGCCGTCGACCGCGACGACTCGCAGGACTTTTAACGCGCACTAGAAAAAACCGTGCGACGCCATGGACTGGCTCCCGGCGGCCGCCGCGCCGCTCCTGGGCGCCTCGCTCCTCGCATTGGTCCTAGTGCGGCGGGCCAAGGCCCGCAGCGCTCCGCAGACGCCGCAGCAACCCCGCCAGCGGCGCATCCTGCCCGCGCACGTCGCCTTCATCATGGACGGGAACCGGCGCTTCGGCGCGAAGCGGTTCGGGCCCGCGCGGCGGCTCGAGGGCCACGCGGCCGGCGGCCGCAAGCTCGGCGAGGTCGTCGACTGGTGCCTGCGCGCGGGCGTCGCGGAGGTGACGGCCTTCGCGTTCAGCACGGAGAACTGGCACCGGGACTCCGCGGAGGTCGCGCTGCTCATGCGGACGTTCGTCGACCAATGCGCCGAGATTTTGAAACACGCGCGCGAGAAGCGCGTCCGATGCGACGTGCTCTGCACGGACGCGACCCGCCTGCCCGCCGACGTGCGCGCGGCGCTGGAGACGCTCGAAACGGAGACGGCCTTCGCCGACGCGGCGCTGACGCTCCACCTCGCGGTGTCGTACGGAGCGCGAGGGGAAATAGCGAGCGCCGCGCGAAAGCTCGCGGAGCGCGTCGCCGCCGGCGAGATCGACGCGGGCGACGTCGACGAGGCGTCCCTCGGCGCCGCCCTCGCGCTGCGGTCGCCGCCGGACCTGCTCGTGCGCACGTCCGGCGAGCGGCGGCTCTCGAACTTCCTCCTCTGGCAGATGGCCTACACGGAGCTCGTCTTCCTCGACAAGCACTGGCCCGAGCTCGCCGAGGACGACTTCGACGCCGTCCTCGACGAGTACGCGCGGCGGCAGCGCCGCTACGGCAAGTAGCGGGTAACCTTAGACCGAGATCTAGACGTACCTCAGCGACCGGTAGCCGCTGGGAACTACCAACCCTTATTACACCCTAGGCCGTCGGATCGCTATCGAGGCGCGACAGCTCCGTCCGCGCGACGCGCCAGCTCAGGAGCGTGAGCGCCTCCGTGGCGACGTCGCGGAGCAGGTCGTCGAGCGTCCGCAGCAGCACCATGTCCGTCTCCGGCGAGTCGCCGAGCTGCGGCGCCGGAAAACCGTAGCGCAGCGCGAGCTGGAGCTGCGTCGCGCCGATGAGCAGCGCCGTCGCGAAACTGCCGGCCTGCAACGTGCG